TTCATTATTCTATATCTCGAATTACAACATATATTTATATGTAAGAAAATAAATTCATTTAGAATAAAATGTAAAATTAAATTCAAATCCCACCGAGAATTGCCCTCGGACCACTGGATCCAGAGTGCTAACCACTACACCATGGGACCCATCGATGCTATAGCGTTATTTTTTAATCTAGAAACCCTTGGGAACTGGTGGTTACATGGTCTTTGTACCAGAACTTAATTGTTTCTGGAATTGTAAACAGCAGATCAAATACACACAGAGTCCAAATTTTGGTTTGTTCTTAAAAGCGTGTGTTAGTAATTGAAAAGTACCGGAAATTGACAACACAAAAGAGCCAGTGAAAGCTAATGCTTTTTGAGGCGAGATTGGGACTCAAATTAAGGTTCGAATTTGATTGGTTACTTCAGACACATGTATAAGAACCGTTTAAATTCACGCAGTTGGAATGTTTATCACATGTGTGAGAGCCAGCCCTGCACTCGTTTATGTCTTGGCACGAAAACCCGTCGTCATAGAAACCAACCTTACACAAGCATTTATATGAACCCACGGTGTTTATACAGTTAGCATGCTCATCGCACATATGTATGCCACGCTTGCATTCGTCTACATCGGAACATTGCATCCCCTGATAACCACGGAAACATTCGCATATGTAGGATCCTACCACGTTTATACAGTGGGCGTTTGCTGGGCAAGAAGTATTTCCAGATGAGCATTCGTCAATGTCTAGACGGGAATAGAAGAACGATAAAAATCACAATACTTAAATATTTAAGAAATTAGATTAATTAAATATTTAACAATTAGTTAATTAAATCCTCTTCACAGACACTTCGAAAATGCCCAGAAGCGGCCGTCACTTTGTTAACAAGGGCACACTGCTACGCTACTCACTATCTATCGCTGACAGAATAGATTGTGAGTAGCGTAGCCAGTCAGAGAACAGCATTCTTGATAGAACGCTGGTAAATTCTTAGTATAAATCTGCTGGCGTGCTATCACGAATGCGATAGAAATCTCGAGCTCATAATCTAANGAGTAGCGTAGCCAGTCAGAGAACAGCATTCTTGATAGAACGCTGGTAAATTCTTAGTATAAATCTGCTGGCGTGCTATCACGAATGCGATAGAAATCTCGAGCTCATAATCTAATTGTTAATTACACGCGATAGAAATCTCTCGCTCATAATCTAATTGTTAAATAGAAACACGATTCTAAACTAGTCAGCTCGCGTATTTTCTTTAAATTATTTTCTAATACTCAGATAAACCCAGAGCATTTTCAGTTCTTGAAAATGCCCTTGAAATCCGTATTAAGGTACATTCTGATGTCAATAATCGGTACCAGCCAAACGCATCAAAGAACATCAAAATCACACTTTCTCATGGATCGTTTTAGCCACTGTTCACTCTTGGATGAAACAAAGAATCACGCTTGCATCAGGAACTTAACAAATTGAAGTTCAATCATTTTTCCCTATGGAAATTTACCCGGGTAATCTTTATTCAAGCCTAAGTTATAAAAATACCCAGTCATTTGCAGAACTCACATGATCGAAAACATTTAGTGTACATAGTCTTAACTTTTTACTGTTTACATTTTTAGCTCTGTTTCAGATTTTGAAAGGTGGACTAAAAACTGTTAGCCGTTCAACCGTAATAACCCGTGCTCAGTAATAACAGCCTCCAGGGTAGGGTACATATTCCCTCATGATCTTCTTGATATTTCTACATTCCCCCTCCCTGTTGTCCATTAAAAGATTCATTCGTTCTCAAAAGCGATTCAATCGTGTTGAAAGTGTTCTCGTCAACAGTAAAAATATTCTTTGTTTCTGGCCTTAAGGCATTCTAGTATATTTCTTCTTCCCTTGAAAGCGACGAAATTTATGTTTCGGTTTCCTTGTTCCACAAGACCCCAACGGAAGCCCTTACTAATAATCACTGATTTTCTGTAAATCAATGATCGTGTGAAGCACCGCTTTTTTGTCTGGCCACAAAGAGTATTTCGTTTGCGATTTGCGACCCCATTTGTAGTAGCAGATTAATAATCATCTTTTGATGTAGAAGTGTTTAAAAATCACGTTTAACGTCTAGTAAACACTTGATAATTGAATCGTGTTTAACTTTGAAAATTTTCACTGCAGACTGAAAACAGATTTATCATTCACATTCACTAACAAACACTTATTTATATTCCCTTAACTGCAATTATGAGACCATGATATAGAAAGAGTAGAGTTTTTCCGCACAACAATGGAAATGACCCCATTATGACATTAGACATATAAGATTACCCGCCCTTTCGATTATACGGGCCTTTTACAGACAGCGCATAAAGAAATGTATGAACAGGCAAAATCTACTTTGGCAATTATGAATGAGGAAATAAAGAAACTGCTTAGCAAGCTTGATGAACCATAAAACCATCAGAACGTACATAGCATAACAAATATACCGCAAAAAACCAGTATTTCTATGATTTTTAGTCTGCTGCTGTTGTACCATGCGCCATAATTTCAGATCAGCTCTTTGAAAATTTTGACATGAAGTAACACGCCCTTATGATAGAACGGGCAGGTAATTTGCATGTCTAATGACATATCAATCAATCAATCAATCAATCAATCAATCAATCAATCAATCAATCAGTCAGTCAGTCAATCAATCGATCAATCTTTATTTATAGAGGGTAAAACACCTAAAAGTTTCACACTTTGTGGGGTCATTTACATTTGTAAGGTTGTTGTGAGAAAAACTCTTGTAGATGCAATCAATCAGCGCTTGCCAACCCCGGAAAAAGCGTATCTGACAACAATTCAGTCACTTAAAGTTAACAATAGTTGAAAACTTTAATAGTTATTACCTGTACAAAGATGGCCATCTCCCTTGTAACCAGCATGACATTCACAACTATCACTCTTGTTGTTTTCTGATGCTGTGCAAGATGCGTGATCAGAGCACCCAGACTTCTTATCTGCATCTTCAAGTAATAAAAAACTAGCACGTCAGCTCAATTTCTGTCTGGATCTTCACAAGAATACATGTGTATATCTCTCCCCCATTGTAAAATTACTGCCTTCTTTTTAAAAGCGCTTTTGTTTGTTTCGGATAGCAAGCACTCCAAAGTTAAAATTAGTAACTGGAGGTGGGGAGAACCAGATTAGAAAGTAGGGCTTGACACATTATGATTATGCCAACATAATTCGAGCATAATACAGCTATTTTTGCTACTAGCAACCATTGCTTAGTAAAAATTGTTCAAAACACAATCTCAACTTTGCTTTATTTGTTAACCTTTGGGTTAAATGTTCACAGCAGCGTGTTACTGATATTTATTTATGGATATTACATTCTTTTGTGGGAGTGTTTGTCCCAATTTGTTTACTTAACAATCTTGTTTGCATTTTTGTACTGCCAATATATTATGAAAAGTACGTTTAAACCGCGGAAGGGAGAGGGTCGAGTCTAGCATTATTCGGAGTATATAATTGTCCGTTTCCTTTGTTTTGGAAGGGAAGGGGTAGGGATGATGCCACAAAGCATAATGCTCGATTTTAAACTGAACATAATGAGTCAACCCCTAATAGCATCTAATGGAAAGTGAAGTCATTTTGAGCCTGTCATACTGGCCTCATAACAAGGCAATGTGTCATAATTCATCAAAACTTTCAGTTTTTAGTGTAACGAATTTACTGCATGAATGATCCCTTCCCGTGAAAATCATTCAGACGGTTTAAAACGATTCCGTCTCACACGAATAGGACACGGGAATAATTAACACAACGCAGCGATGTTCGAATCGTTTAGCCTTGTTCTAAAACATGGTTGAATGTGAATTAACATCTCGAGAGACTAGGAGAGATATTAAAATCATATCAGCAAGTTCATACACGAACAAAACTCAATCAAAGAACGCAAATTGACAAGTCCTCGTTGATTTTACACTTTCAAACCACTGCGCCTCGTTGAGGACAATTCATACATCTTCTATTATTATATCCTTGCACTATGTCACCGCTAGAAGTTATTTAGGCATTCTCTGAAGTTCCATTAAATTTACAGCATCTCATTGCCCAAAACAGAAACTTACCACAGCGATCTCCTCGAATTACAGGAGCTGCAATGCCGAGAAGCACAAGGATAGTTATGACAAGAAGTAAATCCACAATGTTTCTTGTCGTAGCGTTCCCTGCAAGAAATTTCAGCTGAAATTTGCAGTCTGACTTGAAATTTGTCTCTTGATGAATACGCAAAGTCGTTGGCGCTGGAGCCATTTTCTCCGTTTGATTGGAATGTCTGGCTTGATTATGTGTACGAAAATTTCACAGAAATGGCACTTTGCCACTGTCTTGTTTCTAGGAAATCAACTAGAATAATGCATTATTTTCGAACCGCAATACGCCTCTGTTTCAAAATGAGGCTGGGCGTTTGCATGAACAGGAAAAAGCATTCTAGGAAAATATTTAAAATAGTAGGAATATTTTTGTGGAGCATGTTGTTTTTATGGGGAGTTTTGGATCGGAACACGTTTGGAAATTAGTTCCTTCAGTGCAGGAGTAAAACAAGTTCTCTAACATGATATGTTGTATCAACTGCTGCAGAACGTATAAATATCAAAAGGAATCTTTGTCGTCTTGGATATCGCCCACATGCGTGTGAAAATAAAGCAAAATAAAGTTACGAACCTCCAGTGATATCTATCAGTGATTCGCAGCAGCAATAAAACCCTACATGTCTCTTGAAAATGTCCATTTTTGCTAAACTCGTTCATGAAAGTGTAGTTTTGACGTGGTTTTGCTATCAGATATATCAGTCTTCTCACAGTAAAAATTACACTTGTTGATTAGGAAAAATTGTTATATAAAAAAAACAAAAACAAAAAATAAACAACAAAAAAAAAAGCACGGGTTTCGAACTCGGGTTTGAGAATCTTGCCCTTCCAGTGATTGTGAGTACCGTGCCTTCCGGGCCTAAACTTTAATGCGGTGAGGGACACTCGTTACCAGATTTGTTGCCATAAACTTGGAAAAAAAGAAAAAAAAGACTATTAAAGAACATCAAAATTTTGATGTTGATTCAAACTTTGAACTCGAATTCCAAACTTGAACTCAAACAAACACAGCTAGCGTTTGTACAATCATTATACATCATTATTGATTTATCAACAAGGCGTTGACGGTCCAGTTTAACCCGGTTTACCATTCTATTAGATAAAAGATTCGTACATGTGTCAGTTTGTGAACACGTAGTCAAGATTCTTTTAAGAGCCATTGCCAAAAGGAACTCGGCAATGTCCTTTTGAGCATCTTACTGGTGCATGTAGATCCAGTCATAGGCGAGTGTGGTAGCCTGGTGAGGCAGTATATTATATCAGTAGCAATATAACACGTTTCACACCAATAATGAAACACTAGACGACACGAGAATCGGCGCATGACTACAAAGCGAATTAACGCGAGACATCAGCATAACCATGGGCTTTAGCGCGGGCTCCTTGATAGCTCAATGGAGGACGCTTATCTATTTAAACATATCCGTCTGCAACTATAGTTTAGAGAAAAAGAACAGATCCTTTACCTCAAGATCTGTAAGAATAAGAGTTCAGATATTCATAATGATCAATGTCATGTTCCGATGAGGAAGCAGATTTCATAATTCATTCGTCTACTCAGCCCATTCTATGTTTAAATATCTTGAATGTCACTTTCGCTTTGGGGGTTAGTCCTTATTGGAAGGGTCCGGTTGCTACAAGGGAAAGCGCTTATTTCTGAGAATGGAAGCGTTTATTAGAAGCAGGGTACTTAATCAAATCATCACGTATTTCCAAATTTGTTTTCGTGGAAGCCATTTTTCCGCTTGAGTCAGGCAAATATCTAACATAACTGTGGTTATGTTTACATTAAAATGGATGGCATGCGGAACTTTAATTTTTTCCACGAAATCCCGAATCTAAACGTACTCAACTGATCTCTTGGAGCATTACATAGTACAGAGGTGTCCGTGCTATAAAGGTGTCAGTAGAGAGATGTTCAACTGTACTATGATTGATAATAAATCAGCGTGATTGTGCAGTTTCCACTGACGAAAGAACATGAATAAAAGGTTCGTGTTGTGATTGAGTCCACTGAACAACCGACGCGTCGGTGGTATAGTGGTGAGCACAGCTGCCTTCCAAGCAGTTGACCCGGGCTCGATTCCCGGCTGACGCATTCTTTTTGAGTAAAATTAAAATAATTTAAATCATGAATCATAATTTAAAACAATTGTGTTCGATAACACCTGATCGAAAAATAACTTTATATTTTTCCTTCCTATTTAAAATTAATATTTTGTATACTCTCTAATGGCACGCGGTCGTAATTTTAATTGCTTTTTAAAAAAAGCAAAAAAAAAAGCTTGCGCTTTATACAAAACGACCATGATAGCCTAAAATCAAAATAAATACATACACTAAAATGAAACGCGAGGTCCCACCGAGATTTAAACTCGGATCGCTGAATTCAGAGTCCAGAGTGTTAACCATTACACCATGAGACCGTGTATGGGACGGTCCATGAAACTAAACGATACAGGTTTACTTACACGGTGAAGGTCCGGTCAAAACAAATACACTTTTACAATAACTGTCGCAACAGTAGATAAATAACAAGTATAAAATAATAATCAAGCTGAAAAAGGCAAGAGAGTGGTTAACTTAAAGCTTCATTGAAAAATATCACCCGAGCCGTGTAATTTCTTACGAACGTTTTGGTGCTAAACAAGAAATTGAGATTGCAGTCCAGCTGTCCTGTTTGTTGCACTGACTGCAGGTCGATGACTGACCGGCAATCATACTCCGGTTTTTTCTAAACTAACTCCGGGATTTCCAAATTAAACGTATCGGCATTAAGAACTCGCCGATATTTGAACTCGGATTGCTGGATTCAGTCCAGTATTGACCATTTAATATATCAATTAAGAAATAGAAAACATGTACCGTGTTTCTATCGAGTTTTAGTATAAATCCAGTAATGGTTAGCAATGTGGACTTTGAATCCAGCGATCCGAGTTTAAATCTCGGTGGGACCTGTCAGGAAGATGTTTTTATTTCATACATAAGTCAGTCGGTGCTAATGGCCATAATTCGCATCATTTTATTCAAGTAATATAATTTCTTATCACACCCTCGATCTGACTTCAACCTTGACAAACTTGAGAAAGTCATCTGCTCCTTTTATACGACTTTATATTTTTTATTACTGGTTTGATTACTGGACTTTGAATCCAGCGATCCGAGTTTAAATCTCGGTAGGACCTGTCAGGAAGATGTTCTTATTTCATACATAAGTCAGTCGGTGTTAATGGCCATAATTCCCATCATTTTATTGATCATCTTGGACTGGATATTTGTTTTGATGAATACAACTACCATGATTCCCTGCAGGCGTGTCTCATTGAGGGAATTGGCCATTGGTACGATTGCTTCATTTTTAAAAAGACTGTGAAAGAGTACGTTTCCGTTAAGTACTATAGAGATATATCCTAATTACTCTGACTAATTACTAATCATTTTGACTAATTACTGTGGCCTAAAATCAATTTATTTTCTCACACTTAATTCACAGACACTTCGAAAACGCAAAGTTGCCGCCATCTATGGGAATCAAATTATCAATTGAATTATAAAGTATTAAAAGATATCAGTGTTTTTTTTTCATAGTTAAAACTCACCCAGTTATTGCGTCGTTAATGTCACTACAAATTTTTTAAGAAAAACAAAAACAAACTTTTGGTCGAAGAGTTTTGTTTTAAAATAGGTGCAAGATAAGTGCATATTCTTCACTTCAGCTCCATTAAGTGCTGGCAGTATTCGACTTCTGTAGCTCTTTGTAGGGACTTTGTAGGAGCAAACTGAAAGGACAATATTTACACTCGAACATCAGTTATTTATTCATCATCTTGGACTGGATATTTGTTTTGATGAATACAACAATTCAGTTGTGAATACCGACTGAAACAACAAATTTCTGGCGTAAAATCTTAGCAGGATCTACGTTTTTTAAAGCCAAATTCGATTGAAACAGCATGCCGGTCCCGGTTTGCGTTTTTAACACTGAGAAATGAGCTACTTTTAATTCAGATCAAAGAATACTCACTTGACGTAATTTCCTATTTTTTAAACAAATGTGCAGGGTTCCATGGTGTACTGGTTAGCACTCTCGACTCTGAATCCAGCGATCCGGGTTCAAATCTCGGTGGGACCTTGTTGCATGGGACAGTTTTTTTCTTTTCGATATATTATAGTTTCATTTAGAAGTCCTAGAAATTAAAGGAGGGATATTCAGAAGAAAATAGTAGAAAGAAAAAGGAGTTTGACATGACAAGAAGTTAAACTGAATAATAACCTGCTGGCAGATTTTAAAATTTCAGATAATCTGACATTCATTGAATCGAATCTTTTTCCTCTTGCCTTTATTGTCCATTAGCACTTCATATATGGTCTCGACAATTAGTTTCAACGCTCTAAAACAATTATTTAATAAACATCCATGTTCCTCAAGTCATTTGTTGCCTCCAAGGCTTTAATTAATTGAAGGGGTGAGTGCAAAACCATGCTAAGTGATGATTTGGGTGAAAAAAAAAAAAAAAAAAAAAAAA